TTCATAAGCTAGCTTATTCTTTCTTTAAGGGTAATTTTAGTTAGAAGTTCAAGTAGGCAGAGATAGACTATTGAGGTCTTGTCTGAATTATATAATTATTCATATTTTCCATGTTTGTCTGCATGAAGAGACATGCATTCTGACAAACTGTAAATCATACTTTCCTTATTTAATCCCCTCTCATCTGCCAAATGACGATTAACGTGTTTCACTCTGGTAGTTAAGAAAAAATAGAAAGCTTCAAATTGGTGGAATAATAACTGGCAACAAAATAGAAACTGTGATGGGTGAATTATTTCCTGCTAACCTGTTAAACTTGCTCTTAAAATCTTAGGTGAATGAACCCAGGAAAATATTTTTATACCTTATTGGTGAAGAGTGCAATGTCAGTTCTCCCCAGTGGCAGGGACAGGGGCTAGTATCAATGCTTTAGACGGAGTTATTACGTAGAACATTGGTTTATGATTTTCCAGTTCTCTTATGTTCCCTTAAGAATGCTTTCTTTCCCTTCTTTTTTTTTTAATTGTAGAGGAAAAACATTAGGGTAATTGTTTCATTTTCCTGAGCTAGGAGGAATGGTGATGGAAATGAAGAGAGGGGTAGAAGCAGAGGAAAAAGCCAGAAAGGAAAGACAGACAGGAGGAGACGATGTGAGGCATGACACACACACATAATACAGAAGATGCGTAAAAGAAAAAAATTAAATTAATAGAAAAAGATACATTGCCATTAGTTCTCCTCAAAGCTCTCTTACCTCACTTCAAAACTATTTATCTCACTTCAAAAACATTTATTTCACCGCTCTTGTCACTTTCTGAAGCAGTTCCATAGTTCTTTCTCTTGAGTGGCTTTACAAAGCACAATAAAAAAAATGTGGCGAATCCTGCTGCCATGAGCCACTCAATAAAAAGGCAGGCTCGGACAGACATCACAGCGTGTGCTTGTCCACCTTATTCACCAGGTCTGACACCATGCCACACCAAGCCACTCCTGGCTTTTCTGCAAAGGCAAAATAATCAAAACAGGTAAACATTTTGAATCAATTCAGGGGGCTGAAGTAACCAAGACAACACAACTAAAGACTTTCATGAAAGAAGACATCCAGAACTATTTCAGAAAGTGAAAAAAATGATAGGATAAAGGTTTCCAAAGCAAAGGGGGAGTATTCTGAGGGGCATTAATGGCACTATGCCTTTTAATATAATTTTTTTAAACATTCATCATGTGTTTTGATCATACTTTGTGATGCATTTGGTGGTGTTTCCATTTTTCTTTTCACAGGAGTATACATATCTTCTGGCAAATTGGCTCAAAGTTTATTATTTGAAAGCTAATATGGAGCCCACAGCAGAAGGTTGCCATGGGTTTCATAAGAAAATGAGACCTACAAATGCCTATTGGCTTGTGTCAAGCAGATATTCTTACCCATGGATGTCTCAGCACTATTTTTAGCCTACAGTGTCATGTGGAGGCCTCAGACAGGACTACTTGCTTTAACTGACAGCAATACAGCAGATGGCAGGCTTTGTCACTAGCCAGTCCCCTCATTACATCGAACACAGCGGTTTAGATTCTGCGGACCAATCAAAAAGCTGTCCCATCTTCTTTGTGTTGTAAGACTATGCCTCTCTCATTTTTCCCACCAAACATTCTCCAGATTCCTTTTCTACTAATCTCTTGATTAAGCCCCAGTTCATAGATATACAACTTCTATCAGTAAGATTATGGGTTACATTCTTTTGCTGCTCATTAGGAGGAAAGAAAGGAGAAAGAGGTAATCATATTCTATGTTAAAAATATTATTAGCTTGGCTTTGTTTCTGCTTGTATTGTGCACGTGTTACTAATAGGGATAGAGGGCTAGAAATAAAGTGAATAAGTAGGAATGAGAGAAACATTTTGCAATAGTCTTTTTATGGCATTGATTTTTAGACGGTGAATTTACCCAGTATTAAGAAAGAAAAACCCTTAGAAACAGAAGAAAGAATTCCAGGTGCATCAAAATTATTCTAATAAGAATTCAAAAGAAGAGGATGGGTAGAGTGGGGCAGCGGCAATACAGGAGATAACGGCTGGCTTAGGCTAATCGGGCTGCTTTAAAAAATGCCAGTCTGACTGGGCAGTTTCAACATTTATTCTTACAGGACTAGTGGCTGAAACTCTAAGGTCAGAGTGCCAGCATGGTCAGGTTTTGGTGAGGGTTTGCCTCCTGGTGCACAGATGGCTGCTTTTTTATTATATCTTTGCAATGCAGACCAAATACGTTCTGATCCCTTCATCTCCTCATAAGGGTAATAATCCTATCATTTGGGCTCCACCCTTATGTCTCATTTTTTTCTTTCCCCTTTTTCCTCTACCCCTCCCACTTCCCCTACACCTTTAGACCTGTTCTTCCTATTATACAATATCAATTATATATTTTGATCCTTATTTACGCTTTTACTTTACCACACTAGAGAAACTATGTGGTATTACCTCTCAAAAGTCTCCTTGCTTTCAAATATCATCCACATATTTGTTTCAACATATGAATTCAAGAGGTGGATAGATGAAAATATTAAGTCACTAGCAATGACTGAGAATTTCTCAAAGCTGAAACAAGATGTAAATCTACAGGTAGAAAATTTGATAATGCAATGAGCAGGATAGTGACAACAACAGCTACTACTACAATTAAAAGGATACCTCTAGGGAAATTTAATACTTAAAACACCAAGACAAAAAGAATTATGAAAATTACAAGATGCAAAGAATTATTTGGATGTGAACTTTCCCATCAGTAAACTCAATTGCCAAAATAATCTAAAATCATATCCTTAAAGTACTGAATAGTGCTTTGAACCTAGAATTCTGTAATCATTTTCTCACTCAAAAATGAGAGTAAAGACAAGTCTTTTAAACCTTGCACAAAACTATTCAAAAGTCACCATGTAGCACTTTGTTGAATGAGTTATTTAATCTCATAGAAAATGAGTATAAAAGTAATCAGGACAATGGAAGAAGCAAAAATCTTTAATTTTCAAGAATGTACCAGTGAAGCTTTAAAAAATAACAGAATAACTTTGAAATGCTGAATGTTTGATCAAATATACATACTTATAAATACAGTGATGAAAATAATTAGCATTTATTAAATGTTGTTTATAAAGCATTCTATTAGTCACATAATATATGTGAACTCATACATTTATGTTATGAACAGTATATCAGTCTATGAAAAAAAAATTCACACTAAGAGAATACTGAAGAAAAACCAGCACCATATCTGGCTGGTGGTTAGACCACTTGTAATTGTTAGAACTGGAATTTGGATGCAGATAGTCAAGGTCCTGAAGCAACTTCTAGGCCATTATATCTTGGTGAGTCAACATTCCTGCCTTCCATTGTTGCTGGTGCACCTGGAACATATTTCCTGTACCCAGCCACACTCACACAGCCAGAATTTGCTACCAGTCAGCTTCAAACCTAGGACTTGTCTTCATTCTCAGGTTTTAAAATTATAGTTCATTCTGCCTCTTATATGCTCAAAGCTTTCAGAACTATTTGAAACAAATATCATTGAAAGGAAACATTGTAGTTTTCCTTCCTGCTCTTGCACCTATCCTATCTCCATTTCTCTGCCAACTTCATGATTCTGACCTTGATTCTACAACTGGACCACTGGACTTGGTATTGCTGGCATCACTGAGGTTGTGCACTGATTTCCCAAAAGGACTTTGACTCAGGCTATTCTGAATTACTGTGTCTTTTTCTTCTCTGAGAAAGCATCTCTAATTTATTTTTTACACCTCCAGATCTCTCTTATCATCAAAACTAGATCTTTTTTTTTTTTACAGGATTGACTATCCCCTTAGATCCTTTGTCTTATCTATTTTCTCTGAGTTCCTGTAAGTTATCATATGCAACCCTTGGGAATCAAAGTGCTATAATTTGGTGTTATAATTTGGACCCAGAATGTCCTCCAAAGCCTCGGGTGTTAAAGTCTTGATCCTCAGACTGGTGTCAGTAAGGCTGGTGCCTTCAAGAGGTAGGGCATACAGAGAGGTTTCAAGCCATTAAGATTGCACCTTCAAAGGGAATTTTAGTTTGCATCTTTCTCTTTTACATGCTGACAATGACCTAAGTCCCTTTCTCCACCACATGTTTCCACCATATGCTGCCTTAATACAGGGCCCAAAGAAAACAGACACAAAAGCAACAGGGCCAACCAAGTGTGGACTGAAACTTCCAAAACTATAAGCCAAAATAGATCTTTGTTTTTTTAAAGTTGATTAGCTTGAGTTATTTTTCTTTGTAGTAGTGGAAGCTGATTAACACACAAGTCTTTCGATGAAATGATAGTAAACAAAGTTTGTGTAAACATTTATTTATTTATTACACATTTGCATTTTTACATGAGTTGCTGATACACATATGTGATATATAATGTTAAAAATGCACAGGGGCTGGGGATTTAGCTCTGTGGTTCCGCAGCCTGCCTTGCAAGTGCAAGGTCCTGAGTTCGATCCCCAGTACCAAAAAAAAAAAAGCACATAACATAAATTTGCCTATTGTTTTGGTGCTTTTCCTAGGTATTAATTATGGAATGAACTGGAAAGACTACTCAGCCTTCCTTATAAGAATGAATGAATGCATTTCTTTAGATGCAAAATTAACTGATTACTTGCTTCTGTAACTTTATCAGTTATATTAAATAGACAGTGAACAATAATAAAAAATCATATAAAATAATAAATAACACATGAAAGCTAATACTATAAAATAAACTAGTAATAAAAAGAATTTAATGGGCATCACCTTGCTTTAGGAGACCAAATGATTAATGATGTTATCATGTTATGATTGACAGTTGTGTGGGTATTTCTGAGCTTATACTTAGTGCATAGTAGAATTTATTCAAAAGAAGAGAAATAGGCAGAAAAAGTTTCTAACTCTTTGGCACTTAACAATTCTGAAGCTTACAGCTCATGCTACAAAACCTTTATGTCAAATCAGAATTTTTCAATTTGGGGGCAATGAGAATCTGCCAAAAAATAAGACGCTCTTGGTTATTCTGTGCATGATCAGGAAGAGGAAAGGATGGTCTGCCACAAACTGAGGACCGCCATGACCCGTTCTCCCTGTCATAATGGCGCCGGTACCAGCAGCTGCTACCGTACCCTCTTCATTGACATCTACTGTGGCTTGATGGAACACCTCAGAAAGAAACATCTCGTCCTCCTCCGACATTCCTGAGAAATTGGCCTGGCCCTTATTGAAGGCATCCTCCATGCCCATGCTTCTCAGAATGGATTTGAGTTCATAATGCTCTTCTAACTTGAACTGAGGCATGAAGACTTCTACATTATCTTCAGCTAGTGTGTCATTGTTGGTCCACTTGTTAAGAGTGTCATAATTTATCTGACTTTCCAGCTGCAAATCAAAACAAAAAGCAAAAGAGACACAATGAGTTTAAGGAAGGAAAACAACTCAAAGCCTAAAGTTAATCCTCAGCGACTTTACTAGAGTGTGGGAAATACAAATATTAAATAGATTGTCCAAATTTTGTAAGAAGGTAGAATGCAAGACATATATTTAGGGCTTTGAATGGAATTTCGGTATATGCTTCCTGTACTATTAACTGATTCACATTTTTCTTTGAGAAATTCCACTCTGCTTCCTAAAATATAGATGTACATTTCATGAAAAGTAACCCCAGAAGTTTAAAACAATTGAAGTTGTAATGCCTCACCAATTGTAAACCAGTGGACTCCTCAGCAATTTCATCTGGAAGCAACAGGAACATGCTGACATCTCCTACATATGGGAGTTCTAAGATCTGAACCTTTAGGTCTGCTATGTACCCTATGTTCAGTTTTTTACGCAAGTACATCATCTTCACAGGTATGCTCTGCGTCTGAAATTAAAAAGTCAAATATAAATTAAAAAGCCAATTTAACAGTCAAAAAATGTAAGAAATATAAAAGAGGATGGAATCTGCCTCAATGTTGAATAAATGTGTTTTAAAAATCAATGAATTAAATTATTTATATATGTTTATAGTAGGTATTCTGATCTTATTAGCTTTTCCAAGTTTACATCTGTAATTTAGTAAGATAGATGACAATAATAACACTAATACTAAAATACTTCTGCAGTAGATATAAGCCAGAAACTCTACTAAAGCTTACTGAACATTTACAACACTCTTTCAAATTGGATATTATATTATCTTAATTTAGAGGTCAAACATGAAGTGCACAGAAGATAAGAGAGATTGTAGCTGGTAAATGTAAAAGCCAACATTTCAGTCCATGTACATATAATTATAAAACCTGTGGTCTTCATCTCTAGTCTTCCTACTTCCTGGGAAATTATTGAATGATAATCAGTAGCTTAAAAGAGTCAACGCCTCTATGTATGAACTATAAATAATAATTCATGTAGGAGAATCAATAAATGGTCTCTAATTTTTCTGTCTCTGGATTTCCTAAGGCCAGAAGTATATTTTAGAGAAATGAGTCTTGTCTCATACCCTGTTCACACGGAAAGGATAAAGTCCATCTAGTTTTTTCTCAAATGGAATTTTCCATTTTCCTTTAAAGTAGACAGCATTTACCAGGACCATCTTGGTTGCCTCATCGACAGAACCTTCAGGAAGCAGGTTTGGAATTTTGCCTGAAGAAAACACATTTGTTCAGGTTTCATAATCAGAAACTGTGAAGTTACAATTTCTTGATTCTTTCAAGTAACTATCAAACTCAGAGTTCACATTTGTCAAACTCTGCAGAGTTTGATCTTTATGCTCAAGTTTTTCTGTACATTTACTTAAACCAAAAGTGAAATTAGGACAGACTTCTCACAAGATTTACAACATTCAAGATAAAGTTAAGAAATACTGCATTTAAAATATAAAATAAGGGAAAGGAGATTTTTTATTTCCTTCTCTATAATTTGCTCAGTTTTTGGTTGTCTGGCAGTTACTTCAGAAGGAAGTGAAAGTGTTTCTTAGTTAAGATAAGAGTTCTGTCCACAATGTGTTACTCTCCACTCAATGCTTCTAGATCTTTGCTAGACAGTCCATATATTTGGAAATAAATGGATTAAAAAAAACATTTTAAGTTATGGTAGATAAGTTAAACTAGAAATAGTGCAAATATGAGATGAGAAAGGAAGAATTATCGTGGATAAGTCTAGAATATTGTAAGAGACACTAAAAATCAGTTATGAAACAACGTGTAATAAATTCTGTAACTAGGCTAAGTCATGCAAAGTCAACAAAAAGGGAACACAGTAAAAAAAGTGAGCTAGATAAGGTTCTCAGAAGGATGATGAGAGCATAATCTTCAAAAACTGGTTTGAGAAAGAGTTCATTTATAGAATGTACCCGATCTGCATTATTTAAACCATTACTATATATTATTTCACTTAATATTACTATTACTGTATTATATTTTAAGTTGTATGACAGGATTTAGAATTTTTATTTTCATCTTCATTGTAGTACCTGACACACAGTACATAGTAGATAATCATTTGCTGATTAAATGAATAAATTCAAAAGCAATGAATGAATAAATGGTTTAATTAAGTTTGAGTTGTTGAAAAAAAATACACAGAGAAATTGGAGCTAATGAAAGAATCAAGGAGTTAAATGGTACAAATGTTTTAAACAATTAAGAAGTGACTCAGGGACCAAAAACACTTGACAATAGATTGGCTTTGAATAGACAGAGAAGAGTTAAGATAGTTTCAGTCCTTCCTTCTTGCATTACTAGTATTCTTCATAACTCACACCAATTGCCTAGCTCAGGGGGAAGCCTTTTTTCTTTGTTTTTGTCCATAGTAGTTGCCCAGTCACAATCATTTCAATAATAACATTCCCTATGTTTGAAAATTTCTGCCTCTTCATATTTCACACTCTGGTTATGTCTAAAAACCTAGATTCTAGGGGCCAGGGATTTAGCTCAGTGGTTCCAGCATTTGCCTTGCAAGTGCAAGGACCCAAGTTTAATCCCCAGTACCAAAAATAAATAAATAAAATTTAAAAGATGAAAAATGAAAAAAACAGATTCTATAACATATTTCTGTGTATCTCAAATATTGTTTTCTTATTGAAAATGTTGTACAGTTAAATTAGAATAAAGCTCTATTAACAAAGTAACTAAAAGTAAACAAACTTTAAGGGAATGAAGGCAAAATTCAAGGATGATTTAGCTTTCTATATGGAAAGAAGAAAAGAAAGTATTTTCTTGCTTTCACCTTTGGTTTGAGTATTGACCCAGGAGTTAATTTCTTTTCTGGATTCTTCTGCACATTTCTGAAAGTCTACTTCCTGAGGTTCTGTAGAGTAATATTTCTTAGAGAGTTTGATGTATTCCTTTAAAGCAAGAAAATAAAATATATATTGAACAAGCCATGGGTAATTGTAAATTACAAACTTCCAGGGCAGACTGGGAGGCATGGGACAGGAGTAGGGATTGAAGATGGGTATTGAGGCTGAATGAACTAATTTAGACTACAAGTTCTCCATTCACCCTGCCCCCACACCCCAGCCCCTATTCTGCCCTCTTGCATCTTTTGTGTTATAGATACTGCAAGAGAGTGCAGAGGTTTGGCTTAGGTAACAATGGCTCTGGAAAACAATGTGTTCATCATCCTGGTGACTCTGCCAGCCAGATATTTTCAGTGGGAAGGGGAGGAACCAACAGAGAGAGAATAAGGAGCAGCAATTACGCTAGACCAGTATTACAGAGACTGCATGGAATTCCGACTCTTCAAAAGTGACCTCACTGCTACTTTGGGGCCCAGCCATTTCAATTATAGGCCACTTACTTCCTTAAATCTTGCAGACTTCTCTCCAAACAGCTTAATGGCACTTTCCAATAAATAATCCCCTGTTGGTGCACTGATTGCAGAACTGAGAGAGCAGAATGATGAATGAACTTTGTCTCTTGCTTGTGTCTGAAAAAAAAGGTTCTTTTTCTATAACACACAACTACTGAGCAATATATTTCTTTAAGTAATGACATTTTCTCAACACAACAATGAAATATTATTTTCATGCTTATATTTTCCATTAGAGGAAACTCTGAAGAAATGATTTTGATATGGCTAAGTTGCTTTAAAGCCATTCAGATAGAATTTATGTAATTTGCTCCATATTTTACTGTGTCTACCAACTGGGCATCAACTAACAGCATAGATAAGAGGTATGCTCCTTTTCAGTTTCTAAACTTCAAGATTTCTAAGGAATTTTTGTTAATTTTATAAGAATGAATAAGTTCTGGAGATCTAATATATAGCATGGTAATCATACATGGCAATTATACTAATTTATGAAGAGTACTGTATATTTTATTTTAAATGTCCTTTTCTTCCACCCACAGTATACATACAGTAACTAGTTTTGGTTTGGGGTGTGTTAAATTGATTGTAGCTATTTCAAAATGTGTATCAAATTATGACATTGTACGATTTGAACATACACAGTTTTTATTAGTCATTTATCATGTTCTCAATAAAATTTTGGGGACGACATTGCCTTAGTAACAAAGTTAACGTAGCTTCTGTAGGTTCCTGTTTTGGAGGGTAGCTGGTGCAATGGGTTTTAGTAAACCACAAAAGTGAATGGGATTTCCATTGTTCACTCTGTATGGTGTAAGTGCTATGAGAGACATATGGTCAGTCACACCAGCAGTCTGGAGTGCAACAGAGGATGGAGCCCTCCAATGGACGGCAAGTGTTTCAGGAACTTGGTGGAAGCTTCTCCACCCTTTTAGCCCATAACTCAATGGGTGATGGCTAGATGGATTATATCATTTATCATGTCCAGAAAGGAAGCTGTGAGAGATATCTCTCCATAACCTGCCTTGTGAGAATGATGGATGAAGCCGTTTACCAATAGATGAGAATGATGGATGAAGCCGTTTACCAATAGGAGTACAGCTATACCCAATTGCTGTGATGTAGGTAGATAGCTGAGATTTAAAGAAATAGAACACTGAGAAAAGGTGTTACTGCTTGAGATAGATAGATGGATAGACAGGGAGACAGACAGATGATTTAAGGGTCAGGAGCCTTTCATGAAGTCACTGGGTCTGGTATTCACCATTCCTCAATTATTTATCTAAACCCTCTTTCTGGAAATTTCCCTCCACACGTGTATTCTAGGAGTCTCTGGTAGAGAATAGTTTTAAAGTACATGTAATCAATTAATGACAGAGGCATATCGTTGAATTTAGAAACAGCCTTGCCCTGTAAGTCATGAAATTTTGATTCTGCCCTGGTTCTGCTCTGTTTTTAAGCTAACCTTAGAATATTTCACTCATGGCTCTTCATTGTTATTTTTTCTGTGAATGGAGAAAATTATAGTAAGTTCCTTCCATTATAATCCTATGATGTTGAGACTGAATACTAAGTTCCTAGAAATAGAATACAAAAGAAATATAAACAAATGGGTTAGGTACCTTCAAAATGGTAGCAGGATAGGTTTCCTTCTGCATCTGCTGGGTCAAACGACAGCCAGTGAAGTTTTCTGGGCTCCCAGTGGCAACATCATAGTCTCCAACTTTGTTGAACTGAAGCACCTGCAATCAGTGTCAGAAAGGATGGTGACATTTTTAAATAAATTACTTAATTTAGAAAACAAATGCCTACCAGGTACCTCAAAGCAGTCCTATGTCTGAGCCTGTACCTCTGTGTGCTGGGAACAAGCACAAATATTTTTTCTATGTGATATAGAAATGCCAGTCAATCTAAACTTCCCTTGCATGGAACTTCATGAGATAGTTCAAACAAATTCATCTCCTGGCCATTTTGGAAAAAAACTTTCTATTATATGATGATTTATAACATCTTCCCTAAAATATCACCTAGCCCATAAATTGTCTTGAAGAAGAAGCCAATATTTTCTTGAAAGTAAGCCAACTAAATCAGAGACTTTTATCTCTCTTCTCAGTTGTCAAATATTGCAAGTCAAAGTGAGATTAAACATAAAAATGGGTCACTCGATATGAACAGAGATTAATGAAAATATGTACACCTATCATACTTCACATACAGAGAGAAATTAAGGTCCGAGGGGCAGAGGACAAATCACAAGGATCTGATGACAATATGAATTTCTTCACATTGTGCATGGGCAGCTTTAGTTTTATTCTCTCAGTGAGAATAGCAGGTGAAAACTGGTTTCTATAAAGCTTCCTCAGTTACCCTTCCCCACAACATTGTTGCTTGCCCAGCTTTGTTGCCAGTCAGCACTGGCAGGGACCCCCACCTCCAAAATCCACAGGATTCACTGGTCCTGAGACAGTGACTCCTGGGATCCACGGTGAGAGAGATCCAAGTTTTTAAGTGGGCTGATGAGTGGGGTTTTGCCAGTGAAGGAGAAGAAGGCAGGTCCAGCCACCTGGTAAATTTCTGGGCTGGAGGGAGGAGTGCTAGCACTTGAGAGGCTGTTGTTTGTCCCTAGGGTGTCCTTTCATAGGTTCTGCCATCCTCTCTGAAAAGATGTGATCCCACTCTGTTCCCACATAAGGGAAGAATATTACCTATCACAGCTTCTTTGGTTACCTTCTTGCCAAGGCAACTGACCCTGAAATAAAGATTCTCCTGACTGGCAGTATCTTCTTGAATCACTACAAATGCTACACATGGGAATGTCCTTGCAAAAGTGGGAAGGTAAGGTGACCCTGTGTCATCCTGAGGCTCAAAGAGGTATATTGGCCCAGACAGGTCCATGACCTCACTCTGAGCATAAAAACTGGCAAAAAAATATTATTGGCTGTGACATTCAGCTCCTATAACCTGTGCTATCAAGTTTACACACTCTGTTTCTTTCTTTCATTACAATTTAACTGCCTCTTCCAGGCACACCAGTTCCCAATGTGGTGGCCTCTTCCTGCTCTACTTTCCTCATTTGTAAAATGACTATGATAATCATAACAATTATCTCATAGGGTTTTATATTAAGTGAGTAAACTCCTGAGAAGTTCTTAGAAAGGCCCCTGCAATGGCAGCAAAAACTATTAGCCATTATTACAATTGCCACTAGACACTTTACACATTAACTCTAATTGTCATACTGGTTTTTGCAAATTATGGGTTTTCATTCCCACGTTATAGATGAGAAAACTGAGACTCAGAGGATCTCACATGCTTAGTAAATGGCAGACATGACTTAAAGAAAGATCTGCCCTCAAAACTCATGCTCCTATTTCCTTGCCAAGAATTTCTCTTTCTTCTTACATAGGAAGCAATCAAATTAGCATTTAAATTTTAAAACCTTCAGATGCCACAGTGTTATAAGGAGACTATAAAAAATTCTAGCACAGTTCCAAGTTCTGAAAGGACTTTCTACATATAGAAAGGCTGTGTTGTGTCCAGAGTAACCAATATGATTTTTCCTTTCATATTAAAATCAAGTTTTTCTTTCTTTTTAATATGCCAGAGCCCTCCTATAGCACTCATCCTCAAAATACATTGCTTCAGATTCTTTTACACTTAAAAACATGATGTTTTCTAAGGTTCTCAATGCAATTTATTGTCTACATTTTCAAGGAAAGAAAACAAAGGGGGAGGAGTGTTGCAGAGTGCTGCTGGCATCACAGTTAAGCAATTTAGTTCTGTTGTAAGCCTTGCTGCTTAAAGAGCCATGAGCACAGAAAGTAATCCTTCTCTCTCTTGTCCTCCTGCAGTGAGATTGGCCAATGCTCTCACTGTGAAACCTCGTAATTCAAGGGAGGTCCACCATAAATGGGTCACCATGTTCCTGAGAAGGGTGTATTTATGCCTAGGTAAAATTATCATGGGAAACCAGAAACCAGCCCCTGGCATTTTGGTGTGACTCAAAGCACAAAGGATGCTTATACTTAGAATAATCCATTTAATATTTGTATAGCTGTGAGTGACAAGGAATCCTAACTACATGCTGACTATGTCATGGTCACTGATCTAAGAAATAACAGGCTGTTGAAAATGTTAGGTTGGCCGAATGAGTCCTCTAGAAATGTACTAAACTCTAGAAGAAGTGGCTCAGCACATCAAGGCCCAGATGCAGTTCTGTCTAACTCTGT